AGTAACATGTCATATTCTGATTGGTCTCTGGACGACCGCATTGGCACGGTCGTCCGCAAAGAATAATTAATGCAGATACCGACATCAAACTTCGTGTGCATTAGTAGCTTGACTAGGAAAGAAAAAGGTTAAGTTTGAATAGTTGAAATAACAGACGCGCACGTTAGCAGTGGCAGCGACGGTTGACCAGCGCGTGGTTCAGAAATGAAAAATGGGGAAGCAGCCGCCCAACTATTCACATCAATGGCAGACACCGTCATTACCATTGCTAACCAGCGCCGATTTTGAGATTACGTAGAAACATCAATTTAGCAACCCCATAAGACGATATTTTTTTTTTTTTTGGAAATTTCGTTGGTCATTTATCACAATAAAAAGTTTATAAAACTAAAACTAAGTAATCTTCTGATCCACATCTCCAGCGATTCTCATCCAACCATTTATAAAAAATCAGTGGAAAATTTTAGAGAGAGAGAGAGAGAGAGAGAGAGAGAGAGAGAGAGAGAGAGAGAGAGAATCACCATTAATCCAGTTCTTTGGGGCTTGGAAGTGATAACCTGTGCGGTTACTAATAGTTGCAGGAGGAACATTTTTGTGTTCTTCTGTACTGGCAATCCTATGAGAAGCCTCCACTCCATTTTTCTCCAACAAAATATAGGCAAAAAGAATCAGAAGCAGACATTTGGGTAGAACTTCCTTAGAACTTCTCATATTCTGTCTACGCATCCCCCCAGAGAGAGAGAGAGAGAGAGAGAGAGAGAGAGAGAGAGAGAGATGCAGAAGATGAGGGAAGTAGGGTTTATATAGGGAAGTGGGAGGGTTGGAAATAAATGGTAAAGATGAATACTTTGCTGAGTTGGAAAATGATTTTTTCGAGAAAAAAAAAGGAAAATTAGGCTTTTTCTCTTTTTTTATTAATTTTTTAAATCTCTAAAATTTGGAGGTTTAGATGAAAAAACGGAACCGTGGTGCTGAAAGATAACTGAGTTAGGGTTTGCACAGAGGAGAATGAAGAGGGTTAGAAACAAGAGGAAATCAACAAAAACTTACCCAGCTGGAAGATTGGGCCGTTTATTTTTTTTAATCTTTACGATTTGGCGTATTGAACAGTCCTCTTTCACGATTTTGAATCTTCCACATTGGAAGTTCAAGCGAACAAACGTGTTTCTGACATCGAAGTCCAGAGAAGATAAATATTTGCAAACGAACACGTGAAGCTAAGAAACATTTGCACAAGTTAATAAATTTTAGAGAATTTTATATTAAACTCTTTTCTTCTGTAAATTCTTGAAAAGTAATTGTTTTAGAATGTATAAATAAGGATGATCATTTGTGAAATTTTATTAAACAGTAAAACAGTAATTAGAATTATTTGTTAGCATTTGTCAGGATTAAGTTAACCAAGTCATTGGCAGGCCTAACTGATACGCGATGAACTTGAATTAAGCAAAAAATAGAAAATTAGGCATGTAGGAGTTGGTTAATGCCAATAAGTAGCAAGTTTCCAAAATAATGCTTCATCTTAAAATAACCTATCTCATGATGCCGTACTACCAAACATGATTAATTATAGTAATTGTTGCGTACTGGAATATTCGTGGCGGTAGAGAAATATAAAGTTTATGTCTTAGCTTTATACGAATGGAAGATCCAACACACAATCAGATAAGAGAGAGGGTGTAATATTTATAAGAGACACCATAGATATTTACATGAAAAATCTATGGTGTCTCTTATAAATATTGGGCAAAAGTCAAAAGATGGAGGCAATCGCTAGTGGTTGTCTTCAGTGGCAATATTGGGTGGTTGTTGATGTGTGGCGATAGTTGGTGGTGTTCGTTAGAGGTGATAACAAAAAATGTTAGAGGGCTCTTTAGTTCTCTTAGCTCTTGGGCCTCTTCCTTCATGTAGAAATTGAAGCTCGATCTATTTATACATAATTCAAAACACTTTATTGTATGATCTATATTGATTTCTTTGATCATGAAGTATTTTCTGGCTCGTTGGCTTTGTCTCATCGAGACAAGATTTGTCTAGATCATATCAATTCTATTGATTAATATGAAATATATAATTATTTATGTTCAATTAATAGAACAACTCACTCAAAACACTCAATAGAAGATCAGCTTGCTCAAGCTATTAGGAAATCAACAAAAACTTACCGAGCTGGAAGATTGGGGAATTTAATTTTTTTAAAATCTTTACGATTTGGCATATACTACAGTTTGTATCATAATTGGAGCTTCTCACTTTTGATTATTTTTCTCTCGCCTTTTCCCTATCTCCTCTCTCTCATGCAACTACTTAATTCTCATTTGATTCAATGTATTTTGTTTTACTTTAAGCAATTCATTAGATTGTATGAATAAAATCCTGATCTAGCCGCTTGAGCAAAAAAATGTATTGAAATAAGATGGTAACAGGCCGGCCTCTCTCTTCAACCCATGCTATGCTAGGGTTTTCCCATGTTTCCCTCCGAGGCGACAGCGCCATCTTCGCTGGTGCAAATCTCAGGGAAGCATTTCCTTTTTCTTTGTTTTCTTTTTCACTGCTATCTGGTTTTTCATTTTCTACTCGATTCGTTCGCCGCCAGCCTTATCGGCCAGAATGACGGTGAATCCCCTTGTAGATCCCAGTTTTTAAATGGATCAACCAAATCTATTTCCTTTCTCGACGCACTTTCTGGTAATTCCTCGATCTGATGCGCAATTTCATGAGTTAAAAACTTCCTTGTTTCTTGGTTTTCCCTCACTGTGGATCTCGAAGGAGAAATTTCTTGCGCTTGCGGCTCCATTCCAGTATGTGTTAGTTGGTTTTTTTCCTTCTTGGCGACCTTCTCTTGAATCTATACATAGGTTCAATTTTTCTTCAACCATAAACTTAATGGAAATATATCTGTTAATTACTTTATTAGATCCGTCTCATATTTAGGTTAAAATGATTAATGATCTTGATTATATTAGGCACTACAGAAAAATTGCGAGTTGCCAGCGGCCAAAATCCGCCTGAAAATCCACAAAATCCATCGAAAATTAGCTTTTCCGGCGGATTTCTGACAGAAAATTTTGCGACGGTAAAACATGCATCAGAAAAATAGTTCATGCACAAATTAACCTTCGAAAATTCTTTTCGGCGAAAATATTCCGCCGATACAATTTTTGGCGGAATTTGTCCGCTGAAAAAATTTAAAATATTGTTGCCCAGCCAGGGCACCCAGCCCTAGCCCCAATTCGCACGCAACCCGCAGCCCAGGCCCAGCCACCAGCACCCTCCTACGCTGCCCCCAGCCCCAATCCACGCGTACCCCATCCCGGCCCAGCCCAAGCCCGTGCCTACGGGCCCATCCGTCGAAGACATGATTCGAACCCTGTCCACCACGTCACCGCTCAAGCTCCCAACCATCATGCTGCAATGGAAAAGCTCCTAGTTAATAACTGTTATATGAAATTGATTAAATGGTCGTCTTTGTTGACATTGGAGTGGAGTCTCCGGTGATCCCTATTTGGATTTTTTCCCCTAACCTTCGGCCACACCTTTTCTCCCCATGCATTTTCCATGGCTTGGGTTATATTTTTGGTCGATAATTAAAGCTTGATAAAGCTACCTCGATCGGTTCTCACCCTTCTATTGCTCGTGTCTTGGTTGAGTTGGACATAATAAAAATTGCCTTGATAAAGTGTGGTTAGGCCCTGAGAAATTTGTATATATTCAACAAGTTGAGATGGAGGGTTTCCCTCCATTTTATGGTTCCTGTAAATGTATTGGGCATGTTAATGGTGAATGCCAACCCCCTCCACCATCTTCCCTACATGTTGGTTCTAATGTTTCTATCCCTGTTAATGTTAATAATAGTTGTGATGAGAATGCTGTTGTTGTTTTGGATATCTTGGATAATTGTGCTATTCATCATATTGATAATACTGAAGTGGTTAATGATGATCTTTGTGTTGAAATTGCTAATGTGGCGGAGATTGGTTATAATGTTGTTGAAACTGGGAATATCATTGGTTAGTTGGTGGACGATGCTGCTCAGTTGAATCCTATTTTTCCTGTGGGTGTTCTTGTTTGTGTTGAGGATGAACCTATTTCTGTGTGTTATGCCTTCGGATGATAATATTGAAGGTAATATTGAGATCATGGTTTCCAATAATTGTTTGATTAACCTTTGTAGCTACGTACTCCCATTAGTGTTGATCCTGTGGCTGATGCTGATGTTATTTCCTATTCTTTTGTGTCGAGAAGTGTTGATGTATCTTGTCCTTTGGATGGTGTGGTCTCAGCCATCCCTGTTGCATCTAGGGATAGTGTGGATTTGATGGCCGGTTCTTCTATTGATACTCCATTGGCTTCATTGAGATTGGTTCTCTCAAATGTATCATTAATTGATGTTCCTATTGCTCTTGTTTCAAATGAGGCTTCAAAGGCTTTGAATGCTTCTAGTGTAGATTATAATGATTGGCTTGATGACTCCTTCTCCTCTCCTTGTGGGGGTGATGAGCAGGATTTGGATGGGCTTGTGATAGAAGATCATGTTATTTATAATTTGGATGTTAGTCGTGTAGTTGATAAAGCCTTTTCCTTGAGGGTGGCAAACGTCGGAAGAGGAAACATAAAAGTAAGTAGGCTTGCTTCTCTGTTTCTATTGCTAGTCCTTTTGGGTTGTTTTGTCTCTCCTGTTTCAAATGATTGAGCAGTTGTGGGTTTTTTTAGTCTCAGTTTATGCTAGAAGTATTTGACTTTTTGCTTGAGGGGCTGCTGTTTGAGGTGTTGTTTGGCCTTTTTTGTTGGCTTTGGGGGAGGCATTATGTTGGATCCGTGTTGGCAATGTTGGTACATGGTGGATTTTTTAATCTCTTCTCTTGCATGTTTCTTTTGTAATTTCTTCATGTAGGTTGGTTGGATCGTTCATCTATCTCCTCGGTAGTGGATCTGCTGATTATGTCGCCCGACTTTTCTTTCTTTGGCTTCTTTTTTCCTTCCTTTTGTTTTTGGTTTTAATAGATCTGATCCATCGGCTCTTAGGTTTTACTTCAAAAGTTGTAATTTTAGTGAGCTTTTGGTTCTTTTAAGGACACGTAATCTTATTTTTATGTAACGCGTAGGCCCCAATTGTAAGTTTTATCTCTCATATAGGGGTGTCAATTTCGGGTCACGGGTCGGGTTCGGGTCGAACCCAGAATTGACTCGGGTTCAATCGGGTCAACCCTAACCCAACCCGGGTAGGCAAACGAGTCGAAAACACGGCCGCGGATCCGACACGTCGGGTTGACCCGTCCCGACACGGGAGCGAGCGGCACAGGCCAGCGGATGCGGGGGGCGCAGGCGGGTGGAGGGAAGGGCGGGTGCGCGGAGGGAAGGGCGAACTTGCGCGTGCGGAGGGAAGGGCGGGTGCGCGGTGGACGGGGGCCTGCGACGGGCGCGGCAAGCGCGAGGGCAGGCGCGCAGTGCTGGCAGGGCGGGCGCGTGCTGGCAGGGCGGCGCGTGCGGGGTCGCGGGCAAGCGTGCATGCAGGCGTGCAGGCTCGACTCGTGAGAGCGCGGCCCGCAGGCGTGCGGGGTCGTGGGCAGCCGCGGGTAGCCGAGGCAGCCTAGGGCAGCTCATTCTAAGCGGGTTCACGAGTTGACCCAGCAACCCGCCGGGTCAACCCAAACCGGATTCGTTTTTCAAACGGGTCGAATCCGAGAACCCAAAACCCGACCCATTTTTGAAATCGGTTCGAGTCCAACCCGGATTTTTTGGGTCGGGTTCGAGTCGGATTTTCGTGTCGTGTCAAATATT